TACAGTACCCAAGATAAGTTGTGTCCTTGGACCTAAGCACACACTTTGACCACTTCAGTTTTGAACTAATCTTCTATAGCTAATCCAACACTTTATGAATATCATGGATGTGTTCCTACCACATCCCCTCTAAGTGAATCAAGACATCATCAATGAAGTCAACAATCACCTCCGGCATATCGCAAAGAACCTTATCCATCATTTGCTAGAAAGTCGCTGAAGCATTGTTCAAACCAAATGGCATCATCAAAAACTCATATAAACCAAATGGTGTACGAAAAATAGTCTTAGGAATATCTTCTTAGGCCATTAGTATTTACTAATACCTAAAAGCAAGATCTAGCTTGGTGAACTAATAACTTCTCCCCAAACAATCCAAGAGATCAGCAGTTTAAGGAAGAGGGTACATATTAAGGATTGTCACTTCATTTAACAGACAATAGTTAATGCATAAATGTAAATATAGACGACAATATGTGGCAACAGATCGAGTGATAAAAGATAAAATCAAACTTGTATCAACCAATATAGAGAGAATAATAGGAGATCTTTTATTATAAAAACGAGCTTGGAAAGTAAACACTAGATGAACTTGTGTTAAGTGAATCCCTTGATGATACTCCCGAAAGAAAAATGGAGGGGTCACTAATTTATTTGCGCAAGGTCCCTTTATTACTCACGTGACTCCTCATTTCCCAGATGCATTTTGGTGTCTAGTCCTTCCATTGCAGTAGCATCAACAAGATATTATTGATGCCAAGATCTTCACCCAGGAAATGAAAGTCACCAATCTAGAAAATGCTAACAACGCCGATAAGTGTGACCAATTTTATCACACGTCTAGTAGTGAACATCATGGTCATAACCATGTCTTTGCCCTTATCCTTGAACTTGAGTAGCAGTAGCATCAACTTTCATTGGAACAAGACTATCTCCCACATGAAGTGGAGCTGAAGGATGTGTAGCAAAAAGTGGAAGAGGCAATGTTTCATAATATTGTGCCAAACAAAGAGTATCGTCAAGGGTGGTTGGAGGAAGTGCATGCATAAGTCTTACAAGATCTTGACAAAAGTGCTAGATACAACATTCCTAACTTGATCTGCTCCGACATATTTAGCTCTATACGAAACAGGAGGCTTTGGAAATGAACACTAAATTGCATCACTAACTCAGATGGCTTTTGACAAAGACAATGCAATTTTTGGAAGGCATCATCACAATTATTAGCATGTTCGAATGTGTGTTTGAAAATGTTTGGGAGAATACTCCAATCTCCACGAGCAGCTGTGTTTAAACTATTGTACCATTACAGTGCCATCCCTTAAAGACATGTGGGAAACTCATGTAAATGTTATCTAAGAATGATATGTGGCAATCACTATGAAGTGATTGAACCAATGGTACATATTATCCTTAGGATTCCCATGAAAGAACTCTACTCAAATGCGAGGATTGGCACCAAGAGCAAGAGGAGTTGTACCATATGCCGTGAATGCCACTATCAACTAAATTTAGTTATTCAATTACAATCGCATAACATCAAGCAATTGTACCAATTGCTACTCTAGAGTCAGAGGAGGAGGAGACTATTGCTTTACCATGAAGATGAATGAAAAGGAAAGAGCAAAAGAAAAGAAATGAAAAAAGATAAAAGGAAAGGGAGATTTAAACAATACAAAAGCTAAATCTAAACCAAAATCTTGAAAGGAAATAGCAAAAAAAAGGAATAGAAAAAACTAAATCTACATCTTAATTACTTTAAAAACCTTAGTTTATATATAGGAGTGAGTAGTCCGAATTGAAACCAATTCGACAGCTACCAAAATCCCACTATATTAATATTAGTATACAACATTGTAACTATAAACTTGGACCTCATAACATAAGTTGTTAATTAAGTTAAATTATTAAATTTATTCATCATAAAAAATAGTGGAATTAGCAACTTTACCTCAAATATCTCATTATTATGTAAATACAAATAAAGATAAAGAATTTACTGAACTAAAATTTAAAATATGAGATAGCAACAATTTTACTTACAATTGAAACCAAAAGAAGTATAAAAATATAATAAATTAATATTTTACACTCTATTATTTAATACTTTGATTAATTATCAATCACTATGATTGCAGTCAGTGATTAATCATGTGTAAAGTTATGTAAAAATTTATAATTTAACTTTGAAAATATATATATATATATATATATATATATATATATATATATATATATATATATATATATATATATATATATGTATGTATGTATATATGACTTATTATCCACCTTTCAGAAGAGATAATAAGTTAAGTGGAATATTTAGAGCTTCTATTGAGTGATTATAGATTGTTACATAAACTTGAAGTTCCCACAAAACCACTATTATCATAATTGAAATAAAATGCAAAGTTCTGGCATAAGTATCAATCAATTATGAATCCCAATAAATTATAATTTTGTGTGCAATTACAAAATGCTCAAACCAACCTTAAAGATATAACTTTGAACTAAAGCAAAAGACTTTGAGAGCTATTACAATCCACAAAGCACCATTATAACAAACAATATAAATTATTATCCATCCTTTGAAATCACCATTAACTCAAACTCAACTATCTATAGAATATGTTGTTGCAACCTTCTTTTTTATAGAATATGTTGTTGCAACCTCCTTTTGGTCAACCTTTAAAACTTATATTAACTCAAATTTACTCCATTCTTTCTTCATATTCTTTTTATCCCCTTATCGAAGGAAATTTTTTTTTGAAATATTATTCTCATTCAAACTTATTATTATTTATCCTTGCTTTGCCATCAATGTTTGGCCTCACTCCATTACCATATTTTTTTAATCTCATTATGTTGGGGTTGGATGTTCCGTTTGGAATTCTTATGCTTATTCTCACTGTATAATTCATATAGTTCATTTATGCTATACTATTCTATCCTCACTATTAGACTTTTGTCTATCCCTTTTACCCCCTCCAAAAAAAAGGTTTGAAGTATTGGGGCAAAGAGGAAAAAAGGGAGAAAAAATGAGAAAAATGAGAAATGAAAAATATGGAAGAAGAAAAATTGGATAAAAAAAAAAAAAACTTTTAATAACTGTTAAAGTGGAAATAGGGAAATAAAAAATAGATAATATTCTCAAAATTTGGAAAACAAAGAACCTTATATTTCAAAAAACTTCAGCCATCATAGAATAAATAAAGGATTCACACCCCTTAACCTCCTCAACACATAACTCAATAATTAAAACAAAAACATCAATAAAAAAAGTTATCAAGAGAATATATAAACTCTAACTTGATATTATATAAATTCAAGAAGTATGTCAAAACCTTTAATTATTGTAAAAAGACCTTTAACCAATTGAAAAGGGGTGTGTTTTTATTCATGGGCCTTTTCCCTTTATATTTATCTTTTAAACCATTATTTTTTATTTCTTATAAAATATTAGTGTTCTATATTTAAACTCTAATAAATTATCTTTAAAACTATTTTTCTTAATTGCTTACACAATGTGAGTGTTTAAGATATAGGAATAGGTATATTAATTAGGGTCTAGATATCTGTTTATATTCAAGAATGGACCATATTTAGTCTCAAATAGATGGCTTATATATTATGGTATTAAAATTAGTGTATTATCTAAATAGGTATATATATATTTGTATATATAAGTATTCATTTCTAACTACAAAATATGAATATAAACATATTCCAATAAATAGTTAAGAACAATATTAATAATAAATAATAAAATATAATTGAAACATAAGTATAAAGATAATTAAAAATGTAATTAATTTGTAAATATAAAATATAAATATTTATTATAGCTAAAGGGTTCATGAGAAAGTACCTATAGTACCTATAGTCTTATAGTTTATTTTATAAATTATTTATATAAAGTATTTTCAACTCTCTTTCTTTAATTTACAATGGTTTAAATATTTATATTCAGTTGTATATTAAAAATGACTGATTTCCATTAAGAAATTAATTGATAATTAAAACAATCTTTTCTAATAGAGAGAGAGAGAGTAAATATTCTAGACTGTACATATATAATAAACCTAATTACATTTAAATATGTAAATGTATGTATATATCTAATCAAACCTCTAGAATATAAAACTATATTAAATATTTGTTTGCTAAATTGCCAAATATCATTCTAACATTTTAAATTTTAATGAGCTTTAAAAAATGTATATAGTATTACTAAATACACTACTCCTGGCTTAAGACCATAGAAGCCATATATTCTAAAGAGCTATATTCTAGATTATATAATTTAAACAACTGTAGATTGTGAAATATTTAAATTCTATGGTCTAAAATGTTGTACATTTCTACAGTATACATTCTTTAGAGTTCTTTGATGTTTAATCTATGTTTAACTACTTTAAAATAATTATAGTATAGACATATGACTATGTTCAATGTAAGGAAAACAATTCTTGACCAGATTCGTCCTCAATGTATGCAGGTCCTAGCTTTTCACCAGCATTACGAATTATTAAGGTTGATTAGCACTGAACCGTTACAACAACTTGCCCTTCATAATTCTCGGTTTCTATAAAATCACAAATGGATAAGGCTCTCAACTACCACGTGGCCTGATTGAGATTTGAGATGTCGAGGATGTCGACACTGGCCGTGGAGTCTGGCGATCGACGGCCCGGATCTCGCTTCACTGGCGGCCAGCAGGGGACACGTTTCGGTGGCTCGAGCGGGCACACCGGCATAAGACGGTTGGTGCCGGGCAGATTCCGACACGTGGCGACGCGGCGCCAAGAAGCCGCCCGCTCATGTCGGATAGATCCCCGTCAGCAGAGCTTTCCGAGGTGGCGGCTAAGTTCATTGGACGTGGACGAAAATTTGCCGTGGTAGGCCCCGACGTGGCACGGATATCCGTGGCGGATGGATGCGAATATCTGCTGACGTGTTTCCGTACCTGGCCAATTTCTCGCTCCTCTCTCCCCGTGTGTGCGCTTCGAAATGACTTCATCGTGAAGAAAGAAGATCCGACAGTGGGCGAGAGGAAATTTTCTTCCTCGTTTATATGTTCTTCGCCCGGGAGCGAGGAAGAGAGAGAGATATAGACAGAGATAGAGAGCTAGGGTTTGTGACATTGGGGGACGGATTCCTCGCGGAGATGAGGATCCGGCGCGATCAATCCCCATTCTAGGAGCATAGTATTGACCAGATCGACCGCGGCTTATTTTATTTCCCTTTGCGCTCCTCTCCTTTCTTGCCCAGTTTGATTTTGGGATTTTCGGTTCGATCGATATGACTGCGATGCTGGCGTACCAGAATGTGGGATCCAGCATGGCGCGCAAGATGGAGCAGCCAAGAGAGGATTTTGCGATGTCGGCTCAGACATCTCAAGCAAAGAAGGCGGCCGTGGCGATCAACCCGGCGACGGTAGTCTCGGCCTTCCACCTGGTCTCGCGAGCCAACAATCCGGTCGCGGAGGTCCGGGCCAAGGAGGTGGCGTCGAGCGACAGCGGCGGTGATCATGGCAAGATCTACCAGAGCAGCGGCAGCGAGCACGAGCCCAGCTCCGTGTGCCTGGCAGCGATGGTGGACGAATTCATGGAAGAAGCAGCATTCGGCAAATGTAGGAGCAAGAATCCGTGCTCCTCCAAGGGCGATGAGCGCGGCAGCGATCTCGGCGGAGAGGTCCTGGATTACCTCAAGGTGTGTCATCGCTTTCGGAGTTTTCTTTCCTTCTGGACGGGCTGATCGATGGATCGTAATGCTTGTTCTTCCTTGCAGGGATTCACAGCATGCTCCAGCGAAGAAGAGCTGGCTCTCCTTTCAGACGTTACGGCGGCGGTTACCGTTGTGAAGAACAAAGCTATTGAGATTTGCAACGAGGGAATGGATTGCGCCAGTGGATGCGCTAAGCGAGCCACGCTAAGGTCCTTGCGATCCGCTGGCCACAACGCCGCCATTTGCAAGTCTCGCTGGGATCACGGTGGTGGATTTCCAGGCGGTGAGTTTCCCTCCACCACTTTCCATTCTCGATCGTCAAGGAACTCATCGATTTTGTTTTCGTGTTTCCCAGGTGACTACGAATACATTGATGTTTTGATCGAGAGAAGCGATGGAAAACTCGAGAGACTGATCGTCGACATAGATTTCCGGGGCCAGTTCGAGATCGCCCGTCCCACGGATCGCTACACCGCCATCGTCCACGAGCTGCCAGCGATCTTCGTCGGCGGCGCCGAGAGGCTCCAGCAGATCGTAAACTTGATGTGCAATGGAGTGAAGGAGTCGCTCAAGAAGCGAGGAATGCCGCTGCCGCCGTGGAGGAAGCCCGAGTACATGAGAGCGAAGTGGCTCTCGGCCTACAAGAGAACCACCAACGAGTCCCCGCCTCGCCACGAGACGAGCGATGAGAAGAGAGAGCTCCTCAACACGGCACTGTTGCGGGGCTCGAGATGGCACTCGCGCTTCACCAACGAGGTGGAGCTCCTAATGGTGGAAAGAAACGATACTTCTACGTCCACGGCTACTGCGATCACCATCACCGCCAACACTGTCAGTGAGCTCCAACAATCGAATAAGAAGTTCACGGAACCTGGAAGTTCATCGTTGCTACCGTCTCGAAGAGGCCGAGGTGGTAACGAGATCACGGCAGTGGCGACCGAGTGGAAGCCTCCTGCGGTCGGCAGCTCCCGGAAGATCAAGCCAGCTGGAGTGGCGGGGCTGGCGTCGGTGTTGATCGAGGCTGGCCTCTCAACGTTGGCGAGCGAACAGCGAGCGAGCAGCAGGAACCCGTGCATGGTGGCCGTCTCCTGAAAGCTCTCGGTAGAACAGCACGAGTTTACCTTAGTGCTGTTGAGCTTACTTTGGTCATCACTGCTCCACGAGAACGAACGTAGTGATGACGGCACTGGAGCTTGTGGTGCGGTTTGCCAACGAAGGCCGGAAACGTATTCTTGTGAAGATCCAAAGTTTCTTCGGTGAGAAGTCGTTCGGGACATCCGAGATCGGGCACGGGTGAGTTTGCTGTGAAAAGTTTGTAAGCCATCAAATGGACAAAATAGCTTTTTATAGTGAAATATAAATTTTGCGATACCTCTCGTCAGCAGATAGGCTCCCTCCCACCACCCACAAGAACGAAACAAGCAAAAACAAAAGTTTTTCTCACCCGCTGAGCTAAGCCGCGAATCATGTGTCGTAGGCACCCGGGCCTGGACGATCGTCCGAGTATGGTTTAAAACGCTGCTCTGATCCAAACTTAAATGCCGAGGCGGATGAGTTTCTTGAGTTTGGCTGGTGACCCTGCGAAAAGAAGATAGATATAAAACAAGAAAGGAACACCCAGCACTACGTACCAGTGACGATCGTACTCTGTAGTTCCCAGCTGGCCCAGGAGAATTCTCGCCAAAATGTGACTTATCGTGTTCTTTGGACAGGAAAACCTGCGCACAAGCACGAGTGAAGATGAGCTCCATCCTAATCAGAGTGGCTAGTCCACATGACAATGCAGGATGCAGGAATATAAGACAAAGAAAGAAAGATACAAAAGAGAGGAAGCTTTGCGAACCTTCTCTCGGTTCTGCCTGGTTGCAATTCCAATCGAGTAGGACGGCGAGTTCCCCTTCTTGGACTCGTGCTGCTTGCCTACCGAACTGAGGCAATCATAGCGTCCAGCTCCAGGAGTCGAACCTTCTGAAATAGGCCCCTCCTGAAGAAGAACACACACAACGATAACTTGTTGATCACCTGAGTCTGCATTCTCCCCCATTCCCATCTTCTTTCTTTGTTTTTACTTCCGAGGAGACGTACTCTAAAGCGTCTCTCATGGCCAAATCGAAACTTTGGGGCTGTGGAGTTTGCAGAATGGATCTGGCTGCCAATGGAGGATCTTTCGTCACATCTCACTGGACCTGGAGAGATAAATCTCGCCTGTGCATGCACAACCAGCCTCAGAACAGCCGCTTAGAAGAAACATCTCGGTATACCTTCTCTTCAATCTTATACGTCTGCTCCCTCGTAGCCTTTCCAAAGTCAGTCTTCTCTGGTGACTGCTTGGACGATACACACTGCAAATGAAAACAAAAAAGACTCGACAGTTTCAATGGTGAACTCCACACTTGCAAACACACCTGATTTCCAAATGCCGTGACTTTGTCCTCATAGGCTCCAGGACCAGGAACGCCTGTAGAGCGCCTTCCCTGTAGGAACCTGCGTGTTAGTTTGTAGCGGAGCCTTCACAGGAAAGAACTTGATTCGTAATACCTTCCACCGCTTATCCCGTCCAAAAGTCAAGCACGGTGCATTGCCATTGATAGATTCGACTTGCTTGCCGATAGACGAGAGAGAATTGTAGATTGGTCCTGTTTAGAAGCTTGAGTTTTCATAAGAAAAGAAAGACCGAGCTAGGAAAAACTAGAAGCTCTACCTGGACTGTTGTTCCCCGGAATCAACTTATTGAGTTCCTTGTCAATGTATATCTGTCGAAACGCCGAAAGTTAGAAAGAAAAGATAGTCACACCAAGTAAGGAGGAAACCTTCTCCATGTTCACGCGATCGGAAGTTCCAAAGAGAGTGAATGGTCCAGTGAGCCTGTGCGAAAGAACCTGGTAGAAAATCCAAAGTAAAAATCTCTAGAAGCCACAAGAACTAGAAAGATATTCTCACTTGTGGACCAAACGTGGATTTCTGGCTGTGCGTTGGAGACGAGGGAACGATCATGTCTATGTCGGGCATTGGTGAATCGCGAGGATCGTTGGAGTGCCCCATCATCGTAGACACTACTTCTTTCTCTTGCTGCTCCCTCTCTCTGCGATCGATGGATATTGGAGGGAGCTCGAGCGATCGATCGCGCAATGACACCAGCAGCGCCCAGCGTGGAAGATCACAAAATATTTACCGGATCGCCAAGGCCAAGAACGGCTCACTCGGAGAGCAGGGATTTGCGACGCCGCAAGCTCCAACCCACCGGGACGATCCCCGCCCTAGCTCTCCCCGCTCGATCGCGATCGATTGCTCGCCGCCCGGTCTTCGTGCTTTGAGGAGGCGCCAAGCCACCTGGGGAAATGCCACGTCAAAGCCCTAGATCCCTTCTAGGGTTTTGAGCAGGCTTTAGGGTTCTTGCGCGCGGCGGAGGGGGCGAGGAGGAGGATCGATCAGCAATGGTCCATGTCTGCGTCTACCGCAACTGTAAGTCTCGATTCGCGCTTGCAGTCGCCGGGATCATGGATTTGGTGGTGTCGCAGATGGGAAAACTTTCAAGAAGCCGCGGCGGCCATTCGAAAAGGAGCGCCTGGACGCGGAGCTCAAGCTGGTGGGCGAGTATGGGCTCCGGAACAAGCGAGAGCTGTGGCGCGTCCAGTATGTCTTGAGCCGGATCCGCAATGCGTCGCGACACTTGCTCACGCTGGACGAGAAGAACCCACGCCGGATCTTTGAGGGAGAGGCGCTGCTGCGGCGGATGCATCGCTATGGGCTGCTCGAGGAGGGGCAGAACAAGCTCGATTACGTCCTGGCTCTCACTGTGGAGAACTTCCTTGAGCGCCGGCTGCAAACTCTGGTCTTCAAGGCGGGCATGGCCAAGTCGATCCATCACGCTCGCGTTCTCGTCAGGCAAAGGCACATCAGGTCCATTCTCTCTTCGGTTCTTCTCTCTTTTGGTTTTTCGTTTGCTTTTGGGATCTCTTCCTGTGATCTATCTTCTTCTCTTTGCTTCCTTTGACTACTTCTTTACCTTTAGTTTTTGGTTGGCGTTTGCTTCTTTTCCTTACTTCCTCGTTAGCTTTTGGGATCTTCTCCTGTGATCTATCTGACGAGAAGTTCTTCTCAGGGTCGGGAAGCAAATGGTGAATGTTCCATCGTTTCTGGTTCGTGTGGAATCTCAGAAGCACATCGATTTCGCACTGACAAGCCCGTTTGGCGGCGGCGGTCCAGGGCGTGTCAAGAGGAAGAACACGAAGGCCGCGTCTAAGAAGGCTGCAGGGGGTGGCGATGGAGACGAAGAAGAAGAGGAGTAACAATGTGAATCTTCTTTTAACTAAGAGTTTTGGTTTGTCCTTTCTCGCAAATTAAATTTTCCAGTTGAGCTTCAACAGGGAAGTAGATTTTAAATATAGCTGGTTTGTCACCCACTATAAAGTTTTGGGTGCTTTTGTAAGTGGTTGGTACAATTAGAAAGTTTTTGGTTTGCTGGATCCAGCCAATGGCAGCTGTCTGATGGGAACCATGTCTTGCTGAAATTTATCACAATAAGGAGGAGTTGCTGAATTTTCTGGGCTGTGGCATTCAGCTAATTGCAAACGTCTAATGGGGGGGTTATTTCTTTAACCATGTGTTTGCGAATAATCGTGCTGATGTTTGCTCCTGGCCAATAGAAGGCAACCAAACCTCGTGGGGCGGGAGAGGAAGGCACTGCAACACATGTCACATGCAAAGTGTTGACCATCAAGCGAAGAAAGCACCATGAAGAATGCATCACCATTGTTGTTCCTGCTGGGTGATTGCTTGCCGGCTATCCAGGGATGCAACAGCGTGGAAAGCAGGGCTACCAATGGTGCGGCCGTGTGTTTTCTCCATTGCCGATTTTGGGGGAGTGAGTGACAAGATCATGCTTAACACCAAGGCATTCCAGAAGGCGAGGCAAGCTGGGAGGTGCAACTATCGGCTGACCGGATCAATCTCACGAGCCACATGACTCGCCACAATCCTTGCCTCCAAGGTAAGAGAAGAGTTCTAGCACAGAAGATAAAAAGTGATTTTTTTCTGGATTTCTTTGCTAGGATCCTTAAGATTGGCCCATGCTCGATCCCTTGCCATCGTATGGGCGAGGAAGGCTGATCTATTTCATCCGCAGATGCCTAGAAGTATCATGGGAAGAGGGTGTAATTTCTGAGTCGCGATGAGAGGCGAGGCAACCCATATGTATGGATTTCGGTATACAATCGGACCAGCCGGCACTAGAAAGTCCACCATGCCGTTGTGAGATACCTTTCTTAGGAAGGCTGCCACATAATTTTCCTTGATGCTCAAAGGCTCTGTGAAAATCCAGAAGCAACTCTATTATGGAGCCTTGCGCAAGAATTCCCTGCCATGGCTAGCCTTTCAACGATTTTTGAATGTGTGGCTTTTCGTTGAGTTGATAGATTATATATGTCTTTGGTGGCATCACTAGATCAAAATCCAAAACTGGCAAAAATTTAAATTCTTTTTAACAGGTTGCAGAGTAAATATACTTTATGTGAATAACTTTATTTTTAATGCTTAATGAATAAAATAATCTATGAGGGCCAAGTGTACAACTACGATGCTATATGTATAATAGGATTTTAGTAACCGTCGGATTGGTTTCAATTTGAACCACTCGCTCTTGTATATAAGCTAGGGTTTTTAGGCTAATTGATATGCACATTTTCTGTATTCCCTTTTTATATTCCAAGCACTCACAAATCAACTTTATCTAAAGTTATTATGTTTTATAAAGTATTATAATATTTGAATAGTTTATGTCAAAATTAACTTTAATAATGTAATTTAACAGTATTTACAAATATAATAAGAAAATTATATTCTGTACAGATGGCCTGTCTAAATATCATTAAAACATATAAAACTCAACAACAGGTAATGGTATATCAAATATGGGTTGACTTAGTTTTATGAATGTGTAAAACCATGAAAGTTTTAAGTGTTAATACAAAAACATTAAACAACTTTAAAAATAAAAGTATATATTATATTTTTTATATATAGCCTTAGCTATTTACAATCTAACTCATTATCAACAAAACTACGATAATGTATGCAATATTTGATTATATAGTAATATTTTAAAATATTTTTACTAACTGCAAATATAGTTTATTAGTACATAATACTATGGAATATAAGATTTGAATTTATAGTTTCTATAACATATATATTTACAAATAATTATTTTTTGATTGGATTTGGGTAGTAATATATTAATGTTTCTAAAAACTTATTATTTTATATTCTAAATAAAATATATAATTAATTAATGTCTTGCAGTGGGTGTTAAACCCATATAAGCGAAAGGAAATTAATTCATGAGATCCCCTTCTGAAATGTACCATCGACTGACTTTGATTTTTTACGAAAGGTTTGAGTGTTAGCATACTTGCTAGGACCCAAAAAATGAAAAAAACAAAATTTATATATAATATATTTTTAATAATAGAAAAATCATTTTTACTTTTCTCTTTGTCAGGTATTTCTCTAAATATATTCATATTTTCAAAGAATAATCTGTGTATTATATTTTTGTTAATGAATATTTATTCTTACTTATGCCTAGAAATATATTTTGTTCTAAATATTTATATTATCAAGTTTACAAGAATTGATTTTTGTATTCATTTAGCACTTTCTAGGCATAATTCCCTTAATCAAAGTGGAATATAATATTTTTTATTTTGATACTATTGCAATTTAGTTTTTAATATATTAAAAAATCAAAACAATATTTTACTAATTACATAGCATATGATGGGCAAATACTAGTTTTTCTCAAGGGATAGGAGTAGTTGCAGGGAAGCCAATTACATATCAAGAAATGTGTCGTTGAAAGGGTTGATGAAGAACAGCTCCCACACCAAGGAAAGCGAGAGAAATGAGGTAGCTCTAAAGAAGAGCACTGTTGGAAGTCCAAGCCGGCCAAAGTTTGTGAAGCCATATTCGGGTGCAGATGCCTGCAAAGTTTCTTCGTCAGCAGTAAGTCTGAAAGATTTAAGTTGGTGTTCTAACTTTTGTTTAGCAGAATTCAACGTTAGGAAACTCGAGCGTTCATCCCCAAAAACGCTCGACAGCGAAAGTGTCACTGTTGGAAAGGGCCATTCAAGATCTAAAACCTGGAGCATAAGAAAGTTATATATTTTGTGGTGATTTCTAACGTGGCTCTTTGTACTAGTGCGTCGGATTCCAGATGTTCTAGAGCCAAATGCCACCGGAAAAGTAAGGCGTTTGCCAAGGGAAATAAAGGCCAAAATAGCGAAAGTTGCTAGACTTGCGGTATGCAGTAAAGATATTTACGAACCGATTCTGAGTCCGTTGTGCTTTTGTAGGCGAGGCAAGAAAAAGTTCCTGACGAGCTTATCGATTGTTTGATGAGCATACTTGGTCATCTGATGCACTTGAAGACACTTAAGGTACTTTTCTCCACCCTGTTGTTTACTAGAATGATGTTTTATTTCTTTACATCTGTAGAGAAATTTGAAGGAGATGGTCGAAATGGGCTTTAGTCGCTAAGCACGAAAAGGAACATCGTTTGTCGCATATGAAGCGTGCTTGACAGAAATTGTTCGCTCAAGGGTACAATCGATACAGGCAAAGGTACAATAATGTTAAATGGGTTCATTAATTGTTGGAAAACTGTCAGGCTGAAGAAGGATTCTCCAACGACGTTCAAGGAGTTGGTGAAAAGAACTACAAAGGGGACCAAGCTACAGAAGACTGGATCTGCAAACTCTATGATCAGTACCTTGAGGTTTACTTGCTATTGCAACGTTTGAAGTGTTAAGTGTTATTCTTCTGTAGGGAACTGATGAAAATAGAGGTACTCAAAGTCGCAAGCTCTATATGGAGGTTTGTTGTGTCCAAATTTCTCCACCCTATGCTAATATCTATTCATATTAGAAATTGGGAAGTCTGCTGTTATCCGGAAGCAAATGCAGCGTGGGTACCTGGACAAGCACGACGATTTCAAGGATAAGAAGCGGGTGGAGGAGTCCATCGATACCGATCCGAGCACGTTGGCTTTTCTCAAGTTCAAGAAGCAGACCAAGCCTGTGGGAACTGAGGAGCTCGTGTTTGACGCCAGTTATCAGGGGCTTCGATCGGTGGAGTCGGTCTTTCTAGACAGACCGTCCTGATCCGTCACTTACAGGTGTAAGATAAGCAGGATTTGGAAAGTTAGATAGCGAAGGACAGCTGGATTCTTCGGATTTTTTGTTCTCTTAAAGTTTGGAAGGGTGGAGAAGGGAAGCACGTAATTGCTATTAGATGGGCCAGAGCATTCGAACCGCACGAGCAACGACTCAGCTGGTCCAAAATTTGTCGTCTGGTAAGATATTCTTCTCTTTCATCTTTCGTATCCAGTAGATTACGGACTTTTCACTGTTCCTGTAACTGAGGAAGCCGTGTTCTTTGCTCTTGTTCATGCAGCTGACTACCTGGAACGGGAAGTTGAGGCACAAATCGACAGCCCACCACGTCTCGTCCTGTACTGCCGTCTCGAGAAGGCCGTTCTCGACAACGATCTGCTCCCACACGTTTTTCTTATTCTTCAGAAGCTGATCGAGACTGACTGGCTTTCCATCGTACACCGGACACTCAAGCTTGAACTCCCGAGCCATGACAGCCCAGAGCCTCTCCCAGCTCGTGCAGTCTCCGTCGGCAACGTTAAACGCCTCATTCTTGGCTCTTGGATTCGTCGCAGCCCACAGCTCCTGCTCCGCAACAAGGTCGGCATCCGAAACGTTCGTAAGCGTCTCCCACGACTGCCGGTTTCCTGGAAAATTAAAGCTGAGCTTCTGGTGTTTGCAAATAGCAGCATATATGGCCAAGCTGCCAAGAACGTTGGCGTGGTTCCGAGGAGCAAAGCCGAAGATTATGTTAGGCCGGTGGACGGACCACGTTATGCCCGACGACGGCGAGCATGCCTCGAACAAGATATCCTCCAGAGTGTAGTAGAAGTTTGGAAGGCCGGGGACTTGGGGCAGGTCCTCGCGGAATGGAGGCCGATAGTGCTTGATGGTGCCGAAGTGAAAATACGGTCCCAGGTAGTGCTTGACACCGGTTTGGAGGCAGACGTGCTTGAGTTTCTTGGCAACTGGTAGCAGCGTTTGGAGGACAGATCGCAGCATGAAACCATTGGCTTCGCAGTTCTCCTCCTCGGTGCTCTTCTTTTCCCAGGCAACCCAGAATACATGAGTCACTCCGTCGAGGCTGGAGAGCTTGGGTGTGACTTCGGACAGATTCAGCAGGTTACACTGGATATAGTCGACGTCCGGGTGCTCGAACCAGCGGGGCCTGGGCCGGCGAGCGATGCCGCGGATTCTCCACGGGGCTCCGGGTGCGTCGGGACGCTGCAAAGCTTCGACCAGGCTATTGCCAACTATGCCGGTCACTCCAACAATGAGAGCTTCGTTGTGACCATCGTGTTTGCTGGCGGCCTCCGGGGGCTCTGTTCTAGAGCAGCAGAGAGGAAGCAGTGAGCACATACTTACCTTTGCGAGAGCTGGGCGCGGCCAAGTCTCAAACAGTAAACCTTTTAAATGACTCCCCCGGCCGGAGAGATTCCAAATTTCCACGTTTCGACTGTTCAAATAGCTAGAACAGAGGTATCATGAAAGTGATAATGTGGATATAACAAACAACGGTTAAAGCTTTGAGTGTAGCTTTGACAAGGTTCTTCTCCTTGAGCTCCTGGGTTCAAATCCTATGGGCGCCAAAGGAGAACATAATAATAGTATGGTTGAGCTTTGTTTGAAATGCATTCCACGTGGTATGGCCAAAGTTCAATTTATATTTATCTATAATAATAGCTGAACCTTCTAGGCTGCTGGATCCAGCCAATGGCAGCTGTCCAATGGGGGTATTTCTTTAACCACGTTTTGCTGAAATTTATTACAATAAGGAGTTGCCAAAATTTTTGGGTTGCTGGATTAAGCCAATCACAAGGGTAACTGTAAAAAGGTTACTTCTTTAACCACATGTTTTAACTGAAGTTTGCTCTCGGTGGGAGAGGAAGGCACTATGACACGTGTCACATGCAAAGTGTTAACTGTTGAGTGAAGAAAGCATTGTGAAGAATGCATCACCATCACTGTTCCTGCTGGGTGATTGCTTGCTAGCTATCCAGGGATGCAACAGCGTGGAGAGCAGGCTGGTCCCAGGGCTACTGATGGCGTGGCCGCGCATTTTCTCCATTGCCGATTTTGGGGGAGTGAGCAACGGGATCATGCTTAACACCAAGGCGTTCTAAAAGGCAATTGAAGGCAATTGATCACATTGGCAGCTTTGGCAAGCTGGGAGGCATGATGATCAGCTCACCAAATCAATCTCACGAGCCACATGACTCTCTTCTTGGAACAGGACGCCACAATCCTTGCCTCCAAGGTAAGAGAAGAGTTTTAGCACGGAAGATAAAAAGTGATTTTTTTCTGGATTTCTTCGCTAGGATCCTTAAGATTCGCCCATGCTTGATCCCTTGCCATCATATGGGTGAGGAAGGCTGATTGATTTCATCCGCGGATGCCTAGAAGTACTGTGGGAAGAGGGTGTAATTTCTGAGTCGCAATGAGAGGTGAGGCAACCCATATGTATGGATTTTGGTATACAATCGGACCAGCCAACACTAAAAAGTCTGCCATGCCATTGTGAGATACCTTTCTCATGAGGGCCACCACATGATTTTCCTTGATGCTCAAAGGCTCTGCAAGAATCTGGAAGCAACTTTGTTATGGAGCCTTGTGCAAGAATTCCCCGCCATGGCCAGCCTTTTAACAATTTCTAAATGTGTGGCCTTTTTGATGCATTCGAAAGTAAGAGCTACAATTGCAGTGGAAAGTGGCAACATAATTTCAACGAAGAGTGGTACTGCTGCTTTGCTAGTTGGCTTTGTGAATGTCTGCAATTTAGTCTTTTGTGCTTTGCTCGCCAGTGAATGGAACGAAGTGATCTACAATCCCAAAACCCGAGCTGATAGATTATGTATGTCTTTGGTGGCATCACTAAATCAAAATTTAAAACTGGCAAATATGTAAATTCTGTTTAACAGGTTGCTGAGTAAATATACATTATTATTTTTATTTCTTAATGAATAAAATAATCACCTTTATCTAAACTTATTCTGTTTTATAAAGTATTATAATATTTGAATAGTTTAGGTCAAAATTAACTTTTATATTTAATTTTAACAGTATTTACAAATATAATAAGAAAATAGTATTCTGTACATATGGCTTATCTAAATATCATTAAAACATATAAAAATTAACAATAAGTAATGTTATATCAAATGTGGGTGTACCATAGATTGATCTTGATTTTCTGAGAAGGGTTTGAGTATTAGTATACTTTTTAGGACCTAAAAAATGAAAAAAATAATTATATATAATATATTTCTAATAATAGAAAAATCATTTTTATTTTTTTCTTTGTCAGGTATTTCTCTAAATATATTCATATTTCCAAAGAATAATTTGTATATTATATTTTTGTTAATGAATATTTATTCTTACTTATGCCTAGAAATATATTTTGTTCTAAATATTTATATTATCAAGTTTACAAGAATTGATTTTTGTATTCATCTAGCACTTTCTAGGCATAATTCCCTCAATCAAAGTGGAATACAATATTTATTATTTTAATACTATTCCAATTTAGTTTTTAATATATTAAAAAATCAAAAAAGTATTTTTCTAAGTACACAGCATATGCTGGGCAAATACTAATTTTTCTCAAGGGACGGGAGTAGTTGCAGGGAAGCCAATTACATATCAAGAAATGTGTCGTTGAAAGGGTTGATGAAGAACAGCTCCCGCACCAACGAAAGCGAGAGAAATGAGGTAGCTCTAAGGAAGAGCACTGTTGTAAGTCCGAGCCGGCCAAAGTTTGTGAAGCCATATTCAGGTGCAGATGTCTGCGAAGTTTCTTCGTCAGCAGTAAGTCTGAAAGATTTAAGTTGGTGTTCTAACTTTTGTTTAGCAGAATTCAACGTTAGGAAACTCGAGCGTTGATCCTCATGTCACTTTTGGAAAGGGCCATTCAAGATCTAAAAGCTGGACTTGCTCAGCGTAAGGAAGTTATATATTTTGTGATGATTTCTAACGTGGCTCTTTGTACTAGTGCGTCCGATTCCAGATGTTCTAGAGCCAAATGCCACCGGAAAAGTAAGGCGTTTGCCAAGGGAAATAAAGGCCAAAATAGCGAAAGTTGCTAGACTTGCGGTATGCAGTAAAGATATTTACGAACCGATTCTGAGTCCGTTGTGCTTTTGTAGGCGAGGCAAGGAAAAGTTCCTGACGAGCTTATCGATTGTTTGATGAGCATACTTGGTCATCTGATGCGGTTGAAGACACTGGTACTTTTCTCCACCCTGTTGTTTACTAGAATGATGTTTTTCTTCTTTACATCTGTAGAGAAATTTGAAGGAGATGGCTTAGTCGCTAAGCAAGAAAAGGAACATCGTTTGTCGCATATGAAGCGTGACTTGACAGAAATTGTTCGCTCAAGCGTACAATCGATACAGGCAAAGGTATAATAATGTTATTAATTGTTGAAAAACTGTCAGGCTGAAGAAGGATTCTCCAACGACGTTCAAGGAGTTGGTGAAAAGAACTACAAATGGGACCAAGCTACAGAAGACTGGACCTGCGAACTCTATGATCAGTACCTAGGTTTACTTGCATTGCAACGTTTGAAGGTGTTAAGTGTTATTCCTCTGCAGGGAACTGATGAGTACTCAAAGTCGCAAGCTCTATATGGAGGTTTATTGTGTCCAAATTTCTCCACCCTACTATATTCTTGAAATTTTTTTTTATTTTTTTTTTCCAGCTGGCTGATCTATGGCTTGAGGGCTGGATGGACAAGGACGGGATCAAGAATGCTGTTTACAGAGCGAAAGAAAGGAGAAAAGCTTTGCAGAAACAAGTAAGCGTTTTCTACTATGTACTTTTGCGTTGATTTACAGCACCATTCCGTGCAGAGTTTAAACGAATCGGCCTTTGGCGTTGGCACCAAACATTAACGGGACAATTTCCAACCGGGATTTACCTTCTAGTGCTGTTCAAGCTGGGAAGCCTGCTGTTATCCGGAAGCAAATGCAGCGCCTGGACAAGCACGACGATTCCAAGGATAAGAAGCGGGTGGAGGAGTCCATCGATACCGATCCGAGCACGTTGGCTTTACTCAAGTTCAAGAAGCAGACCAAACCTGTGGGAACTGGGGAGCTCGTGTTTGACGCCAGTTATCAGGGGCTTCGATCGGTGGAGTCGGTCTTTCTAGACAGACCGTCCTGATCCGTCACTTACAGGTGTAAGATAAGCAGGATTTGGAAAGTTAGATAGCGAAGGACAGCTGGATTCTTCGGATTTTTTGTTCTCTTAAAGTTTGGAAGGGTGGAGAAGGGAAGCACGTAATTGCTATTAGATGGGCCAGAGCATTCGGACTGCACGAGCAACGACTCAGCTGGTCCAAAATTTGTCGTCTGGTAAGATATTCCTCTCTTTCATCTTTCGTATCCAGTAGATTACGGACTTTTCACTGTTCCTGTAACTGAGGAAGCCGTGTTCTTTGCTCTTGTTCATGCAGCTGACTACCTGGAACGGGAAGTTGAGACACAAATCGACAGCCCACCACGTCTCGTCCTGTACTGCCGTCTCGAGAAGGCCGTTCTCGACAACGATCTGCTCCCACACGTTTTTCTTATTCTTCAGAAGCTGTTCGAGACTGACTGGCTTTCCATCGTACACCGGACACTCAAGCTTGAACTCCCGAGCCATGACAGCCCAAAGCCTCTCCGAGCTCGTGCAGTCTCCGTCGGCAACGTTAAACGCTTCATTCTTGGCGCTTGGATTCGTCGCAGCCCACAGCTCCTGCTCCGCAACAAGGTCGGCATCCGAAACGTTCGTAAGCGTCTCCCACGACTGCCGGTTTCCTGGAAAATTAAAGCTGAGCTTCTGGTGTTTGCAAATAGCAGCATATATGGCCAAGCTGCCAAGAACGTTGGTGTGGTTCCGAGGAGCAAAGCCGAAGATTATGTTAGGCCGGTGGACGGACCACGTTATGCCCGACGACGGCGAGCATGCCTCGAACAAGATATCCTCCAGAGTGTAGTAGAAGTTTGGAAGGCCGGGGACTTGGGGCAGGTCCTCGCGGAATGGAGGCCGATAGTGCTTGATGGTGCCGAAGTGAAAATACGGTCCCAGGTAATGCTTGACACCGGTTTGGAGGCAGACGTGCTTGAGTCTCTTGGCAACTGGTAGCAGCGTTTGGAGGACAGATCGCAGCATGAAACCATTGGCCTCGCAGTTCTCCTCCTCGGTGCTCTTCTTTTCCCAGGCAACCCAGAATACATGAGTCACTCTGTCGAGGCTGGAGAGCTTGGGTGTGACTTGGGACAGATTCAGCAGGTTACACTGGATATAGTCGACGTCCGGGTGCTCGAACCAGCGGGGCCTGGGCCGGCGGGCGATGCCGCGGATTCTCCAGGGGCTCCGGGTGCGTCGGGATGCTGCAAAGCTTCGACCAGGCTATTGCCAACTATGCCGGTCACTCCAACAATGAGAGCTTCGTTGTGACCATCGTGTTTGCTGGCGGCCTCCGGGGGCTCTGTTCTAGAGCAGCAGAGAGGAAGCAGTGAGCACATATTTACCTTTGCGAGAGCTGGGTGTGGCCAAGTCTCAAACAGTAAACCTTTTAAATGACTCCCCCGGCCAGAGAGATTCCAATTTCCACGTTTCGACTGTTGAACGGAGGTATCATGAAAGTGATAATGTGGATATAACAAACAATGGTTAAAGCTTTGAGTGTAGCTTTGACAAGGCTCTTCTCCTTGAGCTCCTGGGTTCAAATCCTATGGGTGCCAAAGGAGAACATAATAATAGTATGGTTGAGCTTTGTTTGAAATGCATTCCAAGTGATCTCAAACAAGCTGGCATCATTTGTTGATGGTATTGAGATAGGGGGAAGTGGCTTGCCACAAACTATATGGAAGAAAATGGAGCAACTAGTTAGGCACCAGCTTTGACTACATGGTCAACGTTGGTCAAAGGTAGGCTCAAGGGTATATTAAGGCATGTTAGGGTAAGGGACTTAACCTACCCTAGAGCTCACAGTGGAGCGGCGGCGTAATGGAGCTTTTGAGGTATCTCAGGGGTGGTTGGGTGGTGAGGAACCTCAAGAGGTGGTGTAACATAGTTTAGGGCAACTAGATTTTTGTCTTTTTGCGCCGGATCATAACATTGGTATCAGAGGGAGGTTGGTTGTGATGGCCGACCAAGCTGAACGCTGGAATCCTATTGTCAATGGTGGTGCCGATGATGGTGCTGACAAAGTTGTGGAGATTTGGACTATTCAAGATGTGGTTCATGAGTTGCAAGCCCTTAATCGAAATCAGCAAGAGATGCAAGATGAGAGGCATGGCATGATGGATACCATGTGTGGGCGTGTTAAGGCACTCAAGGTTGGATGGGGTAGCGCTCCAAGTAAGCCTTCTTTGGTAGATCGACTCAAGATTCCAACCTTTTCCGGTGATGGTGGTGTGGACAAGTGTCTCACTTGGCTAGCTAATGTGAAGAAGTTCTTGGCTACTAGAGGAACTCCAGATGCAGAGGCTTTAGTGGCTATTCCAATGGTTTTGCGTGATGCGGGTCTTCGATGGTGGAATTGGCTTGAGGAGTCCCGTGTTGCGGATAAGAAACCACCAGTGTTTACCATGGATGAGTTTGAGGCTGCTTTTCGTTTATGTTTTGCCCCTCATTACGACGTGGAGAATGCTCGTATAGAACTTTGACATTTCCAGCAAGGGAAAATGACACTTGGGGACTATATTGAGAAGCTTACTCGCTTGATTAGTCGTGTTCCAACGAAGGATCTAGATTAGAACAAATCCTACTTCATTGATGGCCTACATAGTGAGAGCATGCGGCAACACTTGCGTCATTCTCAGCCTACAAAGAGTTTTGAGGAGCTCTTTGATGCAGCTCGTCGACTTGACAATGATAAACACAAGTCTCGCAAGAGTTTGTGGAGTCCTTTTGTCGAGAATCATCGTGATGATCACTGTGGACACCAGGATGGGAACAAGCATCACAAGTTGAAGTCGGTGGTGACTACCTAAGATACAAAGGGGTCCAAGAAGAAGAAGTTCTTTGTGAAGAATTATAGACAAGGTTGTCATCATTGCGGCGAACTTGGACACTACAAGGTCCGCAGTTGAAGAACAAGCAGTAGGACAAGAAAAATGGCCAATCTTCTTCTCACGGTAAGTCAGATGCTAAAAAGTTGCAAACTTTGCAGCATGAGGATGAGGAGAACAACCATTCCGGTCGGAGGAAGCGACTTTCGATTGTTGCTCGTCAACTCAACTGTGTGTGGAACAAGATGGAACTCGAGGATACGCGTGAATCAGCTTTAATGCTGGAGGGCGTGTTCCGTGGCGGTCCAGTGCGGATTTTACTGGATAGTGGGAGCGATGACAACTTTGTTTCAGCAAAGTTTGTTGCAGAGCATGGCCTGGTCACACGCGGCATTCTTCCATACACAGTGGAGGGTGCAGCTACCTCTGCTCAGCATTTCAATGCTTGTGTCGAGGGGCTGGAAGTGTTGGTTGGCAAAACCACACTTGTGGAGATTTTTTATCTCACGGATATCCATCTTATGGATCGCATTCTTGGGATGCCATGGTTGGTGAAGGTGGATCCAGAGATAGAGTGGAGCATTAAGTGTATCTCGCTAGAGTATGGTGGTGTTAAAGATGTGTGGTTTGGCGAGGGCGTTCAGCCACCAGTTGTTATACTCTCTATTACATCTTTGACGCGGGCTTGTCGTAATGGAAAAGCACTTTCAAGTTACTTGCTGTTTTTTTGTGAGTTGGGGGACCAAGGCACATGTGGGGGAGAAGCAGCAGTATGGGATGTACTTGACGAGTTTTCTGATGTTTTTCCATCTGAACTTCCTCATGGATTACCTCTGTTATGAGGTGTGGAGCATGGGATTACATTGGAGCCAGGGACACAGCCAATTTACACGTGTCCATTTCGGTTAAGCTATGCGGAGGAGCAAGAAGTTCAACGACAAGTGAAGGAGTTACTTAAGTTTGGATTTATTCAGCCAAGTAAGTCTCTTGTAAGGAACCAACTCGCCGAGGTGTCGTAGGCTAAAGGAGCCCCAAAAGCTTGACCAAAATGATAAAGAGTTCATTGGATGGGACCAAGTCTAAGATCAAGTCTAAGATTGACTCTAGGACCGAGTTCGAGATAGAGTCCGGAATCGAGTCCGAAACCGACTCGGGGACCGAGTTCGAGACCGAGTTCAAGACCGAGTTCGAGACGGAGTCCGAGATCCGAAATCGGGTCCGAGACTAAGTCCGAGGTCAAGTCCGAGGTCGGGTCCGAGATCGGGTCCGAGATCGAGTTCGAGATCGAGTCCGAGACCGAATCCGAAGTCGGATCTGAAATCGAGTCCAAGATCGAGCCAGAGACTAAGTCCAAATACTAATACGGGTCAAGGGGTAGAAGCCCAAAGCGTGCGTCTCCTAGGGGCGGGGGGGGGGGGGCTACAGGGGGTTCCAAAAGTATAGTAGGGATAGTGAGGTCTAGGAACCAGTCTTGAAGGAACTCTCTAGTGGGGCTTCCAAACCGACTTGAGGTTGAGACTGGGGCTGAGGGGCCTTGGGTGGGAGTAAGCATGGGCTTGGGTGGTGCCGGAGGGGCCACCCAGGGAAGTGCTCAAGAGCAGCTCCCACTCTCGAAAGGGAAACCGACTGCGGTGCTCCCGGCTCAAGTGGAGTGGTGCCCCACTTGAGTACCATGCGGCTCATTGGTCCTCACCCTTCCTAGGGGCTTGGGCCTTCCTTCGGGATGGAAGTGGGGGGGGTAAAGGTACCCATACCGGGCCGTTAGGCCATGGTGTTTCGCCCCAACG